AAATATGCCTCTCAAGTGTCAGAGTCAAAACATCAGTTCAAGCCAGCGCAGCTACAGTCTTCATCCCCTGCAAACAAACCAAAAGCAGCTGCACCCACAGCAACCAAGTGTTGTGATTTTTTTTTTCCCCTTAGATAAGAAAATAAGGTGTGATTGCCAAAATCTGTCAATGAGGAGTTTCACAAAATGGAGCGTTTGCTTGGTTTTCCTCAGCCCTGCCGCAGGCGGCAGACAGGTGAGCCGCAGTCTTTTAAAATTCCGGGACTTTCCTTGTGGAGTGGCTCAGCAGGATTTCCTTCACTCTTTCCACCTTAATGGGCTACTTCTTAAAATACTGTGGAACTTTCCTGCATTCTACTGAAAATAAAACGTTTTTCTCTCTGTGTGTGTTCCTCTCACTCCAAAGGAATGAGGATAGAAAACCAACTGGGAAGAGAACAGAACCTCTTTGTGTGCATTTAATAAATGCCGGTTACGCGTGGTTTCCTTGGGGACCTGTGACCACTCCGTTCCTTTCCATAGCTCAGGTAAATCTCCTCAAGAAAAGGGGAACAGTGATAAGTGTTTAATAATTACTATTAATAAGGAGAAGTAGCTCACCCTGGCAGCAGGCCTGAGGGCTCACACAGCACTCGGTGTTCTGAAACCCGGAGCAGTCCTGTGACGCCGCCGAGAGCACCTTTGTGGATTTGCTGTGTAGGGGCCTGGTGACAAGTCTATAATCACAGAGCTTGGAAACTGAAGGGAGTCTGGACTCCACGCCTGATTTTCTGACTTCAAATTCAATGGCATTTTCGATTTGCCAAGTCTCTCTTTATTTAAAATACTCTTTAACTTTTACTAACCTTAAAAGTAAATAGAAGTAATAGTTAACTTTCAAACGTGCCAAGTATTCTAAAAGCAAGTGACTTCCTCTAGAACCCAGGTAGAGAGAAACTCTTCTAACTCAGACTCAAAATCCAAATGCAACAGAAGATAGAAATTTGAACATACAGAGACAAATGAATTAGAAAAACGTCACCAATAAGCTCGGCAAGGTTGTGATACACAAGACAGATGGACATTAAAAAGCATGCATTTCTCTATTAGTGACTACTGGGGGCCAGCAAGCGGGGGAAGGAGAACCGTGGTTGGAATGTAAAATGAAACTTAAAAAAATAAAAGAATTTCAAATACTATTAAAAAACATAGGTGACAAGATGTGTTGGTGAGGACATAGAGGAGGGGCAACCCTCATATCGGAGCACCGTGGCTCCTCTGACTCAGTGGTTATTCCCAGTCTTACACTCAAGAGAAACCAAAGTGTCTGTCTGTATGACACTCGAATAGAAATGCTTAGACAGCATTAATGATAACAGCCCCGAAGCACAAACAACCCAGATGTCTATCAAATGGTGAGCTGATACAAATCTAGTATATCTACACAGTAAATCACATGACAGTGCCTAAAGTGAAGATGCTAGATAGGAACAAACCATGGTTATGGTAAGTCAGACACAAGAAGCCATATATTGTCAGACTGTTTCTATGAAATGTCCAGAACAGGCAAAACCACACAGAGAGTAAACAGATAGTTTCTAGGAGGAAGAAATGGAAGATTAACGCTAAAGGCTGCAGTAATCTCAAAAACTCTACAAAACTAGATAGTGGCTGTAAAAATTTGTAAATGTAAACACCACTAAATTGTATACTTTAAGAGAATAACTTTAATGCTGTACAAATATATGATCTCAATAAAATATGAGCAAAATTTAAAAACAAATGACAACTTGGGTGAAAATATTTACAACATATATTATGGATACCGGGATCAATATTGTAATATGTAAAGAGCCTTTAATAGATACGAAAGGCTAGATCAAAAATCCTGTTTATAAATTGGCAAGTGATATAAGTCACACAAAACGACAATTCACAGAAAGAATTAGAGTGCCTTTAACATATGAAAAGATATTCCACTCCAGTTTTAAAAATAGAGATGCAAATTTAAGCTATATAGAAATGTCATTTCTCACCCATCAGATTGGAACTAACTTGAAAGCCTGACAATACACTTTGTTGAAATAGGCTTTGGGGAAACTGGTATTCTTATACAATGTCTAGAAATACCAATGGCATGGGCCCCTTAAAGGCGACTCTGAAGAACAGCACAGCTAAAAACGAGAGAAAAATAGCAATCCATTTTGCAATAATATACAACCACCAAAACATACTGGACTTAATCTAGGGGCCTCACTCTATGGTGCTTTGAATGAGAAGGGCCCCAGAGGCCTGTATGTTTGACACTCAGTTTGGGAAAGGATTAGGAGGTGTGGCCTTGTTGGAGGAAGTGTGCCACTGGGGGTGGGCTTTAAGGTTTCAAAAGCCAATGCCATTCCCAGTTATGCCTCTCTGTCACATGCTTGATATGTATTTGTTACTTATTTAGTGGGGAGAAAGTGAGGGCTACTCCTAACAGCAGGTGGCAACTGATAAAGGCAGTAGGAATGATAAAACAGAAAAGCAGTGTTCTATGACTATCATTGTTAAGAATGTATTAGGAAACTCTTATCAATAGATGCTAGACCCAGAGAGATATTTGACGGAGAGCAGACTATAGAAAGCTAACTAGGGGAAAGAGAGAAAACAGTTACTGCCCAGTGGGGAAACTATGTAACAACACAACAGGGTGATGAAGTCATCCATCTAGACAGATGCGCACTGTCTGAGTCTGTCCTTGGCCCCTCCAAGGCATCCCTTTGACCACGTGCACATATACATGTGTGTGTGTTGATAGGGATTACCATATAGACAGATGGGGAAACAAATATAGGAAGTACTATAAATGGCGACTACGGTCTCACAAACAAGAGGCCCCAGCAAATTCATTCCCCACTCATGCAGCGCCAAGGTCTCCTGAGAGTGAAAAACCCTGACATTCTGCACTCACATCCGTATGGGATTCCCTGTCCTGGCTCATACTCTGAGACACGTGCATTTCTGTACGTCAGTGGTTACTCCAGTCCCTCACAGACTATTAGGTTTCCCTTCTCAAGTAAAAGACCCACACTGGCATGTCTACCACACTGTAAAACAATGTAACCAACTGCTCAGCTTTAACTAGCATATCTTGGTTGTATTTAAGCATACGAGCCTTTTCTAGAAAGACTCAGAGACGCCGGGGGTGCGCTAGCACACTGTGGAACGAGGCTCAGCGATGCCTCTCTATACTGAACTCAAATCTTTGCATGCACACTGCCAATACCAGGTCTTGTAGAAGCCACTCTCATCCCAGTGAGTTTTGCCACAAGTTGTGGCCCTTGCTGAATTAATCCGAATATGGTATCACTTGATAGATTACTTTTGAGTTTTAGAAATCAGTAAACAAAGGGAAAAAAGTCAATGCTTTGCATGGAAAAGTTTAAGGAACAATATTTGAAAAGCAACTAATGAACTCTATGACATGAATACACTAAAGAGAAACTTCACATGATCGTATCAGGCTCAGGCAGGGAAAGAGGAATCCGATGGGCAGGGACGACTGTTACGGCAGCTAAGCTGCTCTGTGTGGTTCTACGCTGTCAAGGCCCACGGCCCCAACATAAAAACCATTTTTCCCTAACTGGACCAGTACGGAGGCGCGGGGAATAATGAGACACAGTTCACACATCAATATCGGAAGAACATCTCAGGCTTCATCCATTCCTGAAGATCTACCCGCGTTTATTATTCAAACACCTTTTATCCCCCAGGTAAACCAAGGTGGAAACTCATTGATATTCTCTTTCCGGGGGACACGGGACTACAGAAACACCTGCAACTTAAGTCACCAGCTTGGAATCAGCACCTCTCCCCCAGGTGATCTATATATTAGCAAAAGAGAAGGAGCCATACATCCTGAGTCTTTGTTAGGTGGCTAGCTTGTCTGGCAGGATTGCAGATGCTAGTGCCCAAAGCATGTAAACCAGTTCCTTAAAAACTCTCCTTCTCTCTCCCTCACTCTCTCCCTCTCCCTCCTTTGTTATACATTCTATTTGCAGTAAATGTACATATTCTATTTTTTTTTTGGAGAACCCCGAATGACGCACATGCCAAGGAGTCTCACAATGACAAGTGGAATAACAACTATCAATGCACCTTTAAATGTCTACAGGCAAAGATTTTAGACTGTAAATAAGAGGTCGAGTCGTGGGCCGGAGAGATGACTTAGCAGTTATATATTGCTCTTGCAGAGGACCTAAGTTTTGTTCCCAGGACCCATGTCAGGTGGCTCACAATTGCCTATAATTCGAGATCCCAGGGATACATACCTCTGGCTTCCAAAGGCACACACACACACACACACACACATACACATACACACACACGTGCACACATACACATATACACACACACATACACACACGCGCACACACACATACACACACACATATACACACACGCGCACACACACATACACACACGCACACACACATACACACACATACACACATGCGCACACACACATACACACACGCGCGCACACACACATACACACACATACACACACACAAATACACACACATACACACACATGTGCACACACACATACACACACATACACATACACATACACACACATACACACACACGTGCACACACACAGAGACGCACATACACGTTATTAAAAAAAAATAAGAATTTTATCGTCTTTTCCCCTTCCAAATGTACCAGTCAGTTTAGTAGCATAAACTCTAAAGGAACTAATAAAGATAAAGAGACTTCATGTGGGAACAGTACTTGATTCTACATGTCATGTGAGAAATAGTCCCAGGCTGTCCGTGGAACACGCAGCCTGCAGCAGGGGCCAGTACCCTGCACTCACCTGCTTCGCTCTCTAATAAGAAAACATCTGCTAAACAGCTCTGCTGACCAAGCGTTTTAATTATCTTCAGCAAATAACAGGGCCAGGCCTTTGCAGAGCTGCCATGGTTCTTGTGTCTAGCACAGCGTTGGTGGCTGGCTGGTGGGCGGCACCTTACCCGTGAGAAATGATTGACAGCAGCATCGTAGAATCCCAGGGCTTGCTCCACACCTGCCAGTTCCCTTAGCACTGGTACACACTCGAAACTGTTTTCATCCTTGATGGTCTCAGTATATTCCAAAGCCTTTTGATAGTAGGGCAAAGCTTCTTTTGATCTTTTCTGACCTTGATATACCCTAAAAAAAAAATCAAACAAAACAAAACCAAAACACAGAGGATTATTTTGAAATGAGTTACCATTCTAACTCTACTTGGCCTGATGGGATTTGCCTCTCGGACCCTGGAGCCCAGGTTTGTTTTCTGGAAAGCTAAGCTTTTCCTCCAGAAAGAAGCAGAGCAAGATGGTCAGGAGGGTTGATTCTGGACTGACCAGAAAGGCTTAAGTACTGGCTTCCCATTTACCAGAGTCATGACTTTCAACCACCTGTAAGCATCTTCCTCACCTATAAACTAAGAGCAACAACAGCATTATGAATATTAAATTAGCTCATAGTCATGAAAATAGCTAGTAGGGTCTCGACACCTAGTAAGAGCTCTGTAGGTGTTTTAAAGAAATACAGTGTTTCAGTGATGACGATTATACAGGACGCTGAGCTTCTGATAACTGATCTGTTTAGAAATTGTTGGACAATTTGGACAACTTTTTGTTGGACAAAGTGGCGCACGCCTTTAATCCCAGCACTAGAGAAGCAGAGGCAGGAGGATCTCTGTAAATTCAAGGCCAGCCTGGTCTATATGGTGAGCTCCAGGATAGCCAGAGCTCTATGGAGACATTGTCTCAAAAGCCCAGAAAAAAATCCTGCCCATCGTGGGTAGAGAGATGGCAAGAGTACTTGTGCAAGTATAAGGTCTTGAGTTTGGACCCCAGCACCCAAGTGGAAAATCAAAGACAGTGCGCACACTCTTAACCCAAGAGCTCCGAGGCAGAAACAGAAGGTTACTGGAGATCCTGTGTCAAGGGAATACGACAGAGACTGAGAAGGCAGAGGGAGGGGCGAGGGATAGGTGGAGGGAGGGAGATACTTTTTCTAGTATTGGTGATGATATGATATATTAACTTTGGGGAGGTTATAATTGAATAAAAACTCCCCAGTACCAAGATGACACACAAATATGGACACAAACACACCCAACACTAACCCTGCTGGTAGCACAGGGGTTTATCTAGAAGAGATATTCAGCATGACAGGAGAAACAGACAAGAATTTTTACCTTAGTTTTGTTATAATAATAGGGGACAGTACAAAGTACTTCAATCCCACCATCAGGGAACAGTGATTGCAGGTCACAGTAAGAGTACATTGTAGAATGCCAGAGAGCCATTGAAGTGAATGCTGAACCTCATTAGCCCAGACACACATGCATTTCATGGTCTTTTATAAAACAGCAGGTTTTGAAGCTATTCTGTGTATCAGCTGCTACATGAGAGATTTTTATAGCTAATCTATAAGGCATAACAGCACAGAGAGATGTCACAGAGATGGTCATGAGGATGTTAGTGATCGTTCTCACTGAGCAACTGAATTGTGAATGGTTTACTATTCTTTCTTATGATATTTTAAATTTCCCAAAGTCTCTTCTATATAACTGCTAGCTCTCGCTATATATAAAAAGCTAGCTTAACATTAGAAGTAGAGGTGACTATAAAAAGTCTTAGTTTCTTAGGACAATGACATGTCCCTATAAGCTGGTGAGCAAGCAGAATAAGTGACATTTGCAATTTTAGTCTTCAAAATATTAAGACTATTGGAACTGTTTCTCTCGTAGAATAACTTTAGGTTCAATTTTTTTTAATGTATGCGTGTGCTCTAACTGCATGTACACCTGCAGGCCAGAAGACGGCATCGGATCCCATTATAGATGGTTGTGAGCCACCAGGTGATTGCTGAGAATTGAATTCAGGACCTCTGGCAGAGCATCCAGTGCTCTTAACTGCTGAGCCATCTCTCCAACCCAGGTCCAAAGTTCTTAATGAAAGACATGGATCCCTCCTATGTTGCTTTCCACCTGGCCGTTTTAGTCCAGAAGATGCTTCAGCTCCCATGGCATGGGTGAACAGACACAAGGAGCCTCGCACCTTCGGTGAGGGAAGTGCCTCTTCTGTGAGACACGTGGTGGAACAGAAAAGGCAGGTGAATTAGTCACGGTAAAAACAAACTCCTAGTGCTGGGGGTGCGGCTCAATGGTAGCGCCTGTCTAGCATCCCCAAGGCCACTCACACAAATAAGGATTAAACAATAACAAAAACTCCTGGGCTCTCTCCCCTGCCATCCCCTCCCCTCCCCTCTCCTCTTCGCTCCCCTCCCTTCCCCTCCCCTCCCCTCTCCTCTTCGCTCCCCTCCCTTCCCCTCCCCTCCCCTCTCCTCTTCGCTCCCCTCCCTTCCCCTCCCCTCCCCTCTCCTCTTCTCTCCCCTGCCATCCCCTCCCCTCCCCTCTCCTCTTTGCTCCCCTCCCTTCCCCTCCCCTTCCCTCTCCTCTTCTCTCCCCTGCCATCCCCTCCCCTCCCCTCTCCTCTTCGCTCCCCTCCCTTCCCCTCCCCTCCCCTCTCCTCTTCGCTCCCCTCCCTTCCCCTCCCCTCTCCTCTTCGCTCCCCTGCCATCCCCTCCTCTCTTCTCCATATTGTCCTTGTCCTATTCCTCTCTCTTTAAGGGACCACCATGTGTGTGGTCTAGCACCCAGTTAATCCTTGCAGCCACTTTCTGAGATCCTTTGTGTAGTGGCCAGGGAGGAGAGTGAGACACACAGGAGGCAGGGGGGGTGCCCGCGTCCTCCCAGTGGGGTGATTTGAACGAACCCCAACTTGAACCCAGGGCGCTGAGTCACAGCCCACGTTCACATCCTGTTCCCCTGCTTAGAAACACTTGGCACGTGGCCCTCTTGACGCTTGAGGAAAAAAAAATCGTGTTTGCTCATTCCTGGGTTAGTTCAGCACAGCAGGGTGACTCGGGTGTTCATAGGCCAAGCTGGGGAAGACTCCAAACATGATGTCACATGGTCATGGAGAAAGCTGGGCGTGGCAATGGATCATCACGTCAGTGGGTCACCATCAGCAACGGTACCTTGTTGTTTGAAAGAGGGCCGTGCATTGGCACCCACACACCTGTATGTATAAAGGTAAGTATCCACCTCGGGAGCTCTGTGTGAGTTCCCAGAACAGAATGCAGGGCTCAGCACTGGGGGAAAGTAGTCCCATTTTTGCTGATGACTTTCTGATGGAAACAACTCAGAAACACTTCGACACTCTGCAAGTTAGTAAGTCGTTACTGAATTCAGCGGTGCAGTAGCAGAGGAGAGAAGGGATGGCGCACGGAGGGGAGATGCCCCAGACCTCCTGCAGGGGCGGGAGTCTGTGCGGGAGTCACTTTGCAGCCCTAACTATCTGTGCCAGGCCTGCCTGGTAGGCACCATAAAAGGAGAAGAAGCACACTAAAAGATGTCCTTTTAAGAAGGGCAGAGATCCAAAGGCTGCCCAAGACCTTCCCCTGGCCTTCCATTCCCAAGACTCAGGAGAGAAAATGCCACGCAGTTCAAGCGTAACTACAAACACGTCCAAAGGCAAAGCCTTGTTTCTGTCTAAAGCGAGTCTGTTTGAACAAAATATTCCCCTCTCCGTGAGAACACAAAGCTAAGAGAGCAAACGAAAACCGCGCATTTTAAACATACAAGTTCTGTGGAAAATGTCAGAGCGAAGAACCAGGAAAGAAGGACGTGGCAGGATGGGAAACAACTCTATTATAACCAAAGGCATCTCCGAAGAGTTTAACTGGGCCTTTAAATATGCTGGAGTGTTGTTCGACACAGATGTGGATAAAGCTCGCCACCTGCTGTCAATGTTTGGTATTGCGATTTGGCAAGCACTCTTAAGGTGGCGCCAGATTCTGGCAGAGGAAACCTCAGTGTTTTGTAGCAACAGTGCTCAACACTAAGAACTGACGCACTAGTCAGGTCTCAACAGATGCAGCCAATATCAGATCCGGGGCCTCACATTTGTATACCTCCTGCACGATGGGATAAAAAAGCGTCTCGTTCTGAGCAGGCAGAGACGCTGTGTGGGTTAGCCCTCTAGTCACCAACAAATGAGCTTTTTCCCTTCAGTTCTATGAATGGAACCAGTTTGCATATTTGGGGTCTGGTTTCTGTCACTCAATACTGTGTTTGTGAGAGCCATTCATGACGTTATGTAACAAGCGGCTTGACAATGCCTTTGTATACGAACAGATCCCAGCTCTTCAGCTTCCTTTTGAGGACATTTGGGCTGTTCTCAGTTCTTGGCTACTGAATAATGAGGCTGGGAACAGACTTGGATGTGTGTTTTGGTGAATAAACATGCAAAGATTTCTACCGAGTATATATTACGGGCGATACCGTTGGGTCAAAGAGTGTGAAGATGTTCAGATTTAGGAGATAATGGAACACAGTTTTCTAAGAGGCCTATCTAAAACAGCCAAACAGTTACGAGGGAGGGGGCATTTCTGAGTGCACGTCCTTGCCAACAGTTGGCACTATTAATCTTTCCAAAGGTTTCGGCCTTTTCGTGGGACCGCGGCATTACCTTACGACTTTAGCTCTCATTCCCCGATGACTGGTGAGACGGAACAGGCTCTGGGCGCCTGGTACTTCTCTATCTGTCTGCTCTTGACCCTGGGGAGTGACGTTTTGAATTTCTGCCTTGACTTCCACACAAACAGAACTATAATAAATTGTAAGCCGAATAAGCCCCGCCCTGCTATCCCCGCTCCATACACTCCTTGCTGCCTTTGGTCAGGGTTCTTCACCACAGCTACACAAACACTAAAGCAGAGATGAGAAGTCACCAAAGGATGGGAGCCGAAGGAGAAGAGGTGCTGTGGGCTCTCCTCCCCTTCTGCAAAACCACCTTGGGATATGTGTAACAATGGCAAAGCACAGGATATAGACAGAATGTTGATCACACTTGGGGGCTTTAAATACACTCATCTAAACATCAGTTTAAGAAACATTTAAGATGTTCTGGGAACAGTGGTTCACTCCCTTAAACCCAGTACTTGGAAGGCAAAGGCAAGGGAAATCTCTGAGTTCGAGGCCAGCCTGATCTACCAAGCTAATTCTAGGGCCCCCAGGTCTACACAGAGAAATTCTGTCTCAAAGTGTGTGTGTGTGTGTGTGTGTGTGTGTGTGTGTTAAGATGTACATTTGAATATCAGAAATTAATATAGTCCATGTTATACAGACTCATTAAATCATCAAACACACACACACACACAATAAAGAATGCAGCTTCTTTTGTGCCATTGGGGACATTCTAAAAGCTGAGGGGGGAGTGGCTGGCAAAAGAAAACACACTCATCTCAGAGATGCTTCTAAGCAGACAAGCTTCTACCCATAATGCCACAGCTAGAAAATCAGTTAACAGTGGGATAGCTCAGAAAATCCATCCATCTGCAGACTAAAACCCCTAATTTGGATAATCTCTGGATTATCCAAAGTGAAGCTTCTAAACTGAGATATGAAATACTAAGAAGGTAAAGAGTGGTAACACCGTCTTGAAAATGTGGCTGGAGAGGTGCTTGGTAGTTTAACAGCAGGTACTGCACCTGCAGAGGACCCCAGTTTGGTTCCCAGCACCCACATCAGGTGGATCACAATCACCTTAACTACAGTGCCAGGGATCTGACTCCCCCTTCTGGCCTCCTCAGTCACTGCACTCATGTGTATATGTGACACATATACACATATAGTTTTTTATAATCTTAAAACATATGAGGTAGAGGGAAATTTTGGAAACTCTTTGAGATTTGCATGGGAAATATTTTCTTTTTCTTTTTTTTAATATTTATTTGTTTATTATGTATACAGTATTCTTCCTGCAGGCCTCATTACAGATGGTTGTGAGCCACCATGTGGTTGCTGGGAATTGAACTCAGGACCTTTGGAAGAGCAGGCAATGCTCTTAACCGCTGAGCCATCTCTCCAGCCCCCGGGAAATATTTTCTAAGCAAAATTCAAAGGCATAAAGCAAAAAGGGGAAAAAATGATTCGCTATGACTCTGGTAAAATGAATAATTTCTATATTATGAAGAACACCATAGACAAAATAAAGGGCAATAGATATAAGAAAATACAGGCATCATAATTACATGTATAACATAAGAAAAATCTCAATTATTCGTATGAAAACACAGAATTTCAAAAGAAAAGTAAGATAGACCTTAACAGGCTATTTGTGGATGGAGAATCTCAAATTCTCAGAGGTATACAGCGGTATTCAAACTCATTAATTCAATAAGAAAAGTAAATGGAATTTTAAAAATAATTGGGTAGCATGGTACATACTTCAGGGCATCGAGTTAGAAAGAGTTACAGTGCCAAATATTGTTGGGGGTTATAACAGATGGGACCACATCCACACTGCAAGAGGCCACATAGCTGGGCATGGGAATGGGTCAGTGCCTAGTGAGCTCGCACTGCTGATATCCTGTAACCTAGGAATCCCATCCCAGGCAGAACCTCAGAAAAACATCATCAATATCAGCGAAGCTTCCTGGGATGAATGGTGATGATGCTGGGGTGGGAGAGAGGACAGGGGAAGGCGAGGGAAGAAGGGGCAACAGGGATGGGCAGAGCTGGCAGGAAGAAAGTCGGGGGGACGAGGAGAGGATCTCTGCGACCACAGGGGGTGGGGGCAGGAGTATATTCCACATCAAGTGACAAGCGTCACTGGTGTTTGTCTTGGTTGGGGCTGTTCTGATATGACAGCGTTGCTCTCCTTTACTGGACAATGGCCTTGGGAGAAGCCTAAGAACCTTCAGTCAACAGACGTACGGGTTCTAAACCGGAACTTACTGTGCAAACGACAGCTTGATCCGCGCTTGGATTTCTACCCACTCCTCCTTTATCATGTTCCCACACTGCAGCATCTCCTTGGAAAGTCTTTCCGCTTTTAACAAGTTCTCCACGGCCTCTTTAAATCTGAAATATGTTCAGGAAAAGTCCCACTGGTTCCTAGATGCTGAAACCCCATCTCCTGCACTTTCTTTGCTCATACAATACTGTTATCCCCGAATAGCAACTTTTTGTTTGAGAATTAACTATAAGAATTTCAGAAACGGTGCTTTCTGTTGGTGAGGATTAGAAGCGAAAAGGATACTTTTGCAGGGCGAGCATTGCTTTCCCCGTGGTGTAGAAAAGCTCTATGGAACACTTGAAGACATTTGTATTATCGTGGTAGGGACTCTCCATGGAGCTAGCCAGGATTTCTTTGGCTTTTTCTGCATGCTGCTTTGCTTGTAGGGACATCCCTATGGACAGAGAAAAAAAGAACTGTCGGTTTCCCTTCAATCTCAGTGGTTCAGGAACATGATTCCCCATAGCCTGGGAATCTGGCAAGTGTTGTCCAGCTGCACACAGACTCAGATCTCGGAAGCAGGAACTAGTGCCTTGACTATAACAACCTCAGATTTGTTTCATGTCAAGTATTCACGACGGAAAGCATTTCCCGAAATGGCCTTTTTAGAAATAAGCACAACAAGCTGGAACTGAGCAGCTTTGAGACATCAGATGTAAAATATAAATAATTATCAAAACACAAATGGAATGCAAGGACTGTGGCTTTCTGGGTAGGAAGCGAACTATTCAGGAATTGTGATCCTGGCTGAGTGACAGCAATCTAAATGACATACGAAGAAGTCTGAGTCTTCTGCTCATGCATTTGCAGTCATAATATTAAAGAGTTCTTTGAGCACTGCACAAATACGGGGGCTATAAATACGTATACATACAACCCCCAGAGGTCACGGACTACCGTGCTGTGAGCTCTTGCTCCCGGGAAGCCACAGACGAACATGAGACAGATGGTGAGTGTTATTACTGATTACCCCGTGTGTTCTAGAGTTCTTCCAGGAGCTGATTAACCTGTGGGAGGGGTGAGACTGAGGAAGAGCAGCTCGGGAGTCTTCTGGGTACCCTCCCCACGCACTCCCACCTTCTGCCTCCACACTGACACCCCCTCTGCTCATATTCATACATCTGCAGCCCCAGGTTCAGAATTACATTTAATCGGATCTCAGTTCTCTGCAAAAGCTGTCAAAATAAAAAGTTAATTCCATTCCTGTGTCTATGAAACAGAAACAATATACGTTCTAATGGAGAGAAGCAAGTCTATCTTCTTTGTGTAGGAACTCTTGCAGAATTCTTGTCTCTTATCTTTTAAAGGCATAGCTTTAACCTGACTGTCAGGAATTCATCGGTGTCAACTGTCCATATGTCCTACCTACAGTGACGGACTAGGATTCCAGGAAGAGCCCCTTCCCTTAGTATTTGAACCTAATCTACTGGAGACAGCTCAGGCTCAGTTTCAAGATCATGGGCTCTGCAGTGAGACTGCCCAGCATGAATCCTCTGTTCCACCATCCACTATGAAACTGGCCTCAACTACCTTGACGGTGAAGAGACATAGTAGGAGCACCCCCACTCCACAGGTAGGTGCTAAGTCTGAATAGGTTTTACATGGCCATTAGCATGGTGGCTGGCCCTCCGTGAGACCTTGCTGAAGAGCGAGTACAGATTTGACTTTAAACTGTGAGAGAAGGATCCGTGCAGAAGGGAGGGGGCTGCAGGAGGAAGCAGGATTTAAAATCCCAGAAGGGGCTGGAGAGATGGCTCAGTGGTTAAGAGCATTGCCTGCTCTTCCAAAGGTCCTGAGTTCAATTCCCAGCAACCACATGGTGGCTCACAACCATCTATAATGGGGCCTGGCACCCTCTTCTGGCCTGTAGGCATACAGACAAAACATTGTATACTAAATAAATAAATATTTAAAAAAACAAATAAACAAATAAAAATAAAATAAAATCCCAGAAGGCAGGACACTGGCACTGGCATGTGGTTCCGAGGTCTGAGCCTCCGATCAGTTGCTTTTTAACAATGTGCATTTGCAGCAAGCTGTTCTGACTCGGATCCATTTTCTCTGCACCTAGAAAATCCTGAGGAGGATATGATCTCCAATGCCCCCTCTGGCTCTGGTGGCCCCTGACAAACAGGTAAGAATGGCCTATCTTGTGGTACTTTCCAGCTGTGGCCACTTGCTGGACCCTGGGAGGCTCGTGCCGCCAGCACCCTACCATTGCTCTGCGGTGGATGAATCGAGTGCAGGGCGGTACTGTGGGGCCCCTTGTGTAAGTCAGCATCAGCAGCGAGTAGAAGACCCCACGTGCGAGGATCTGCATCCTACCTTCCTGCATCCATCCCCACCTTCTATTTTCCTCTTATGATGCTCAACCCCTGCACACCCTAAGCTGGCCAAAACCAGCTTCTTTCCCAGGACACAGGAAAACCCAGAATCAGGTCTGACCTACCAGACTGTGCCTTCACTTCAGTATGTACTCCAGTGAAGTCTAAATGAGGGGCCTCCAAAATCCTGGAATGTTGTGGTGGGTGGTATAGTCTTTTTTTCTTGGTCATGTTTAGCAAGGAAACCTAAAGTTGCTGGTAGTCTATGGGAAAAGCCTGGCTAAGGTGGAGCTAATGCCAAGACAAACAGAGCCAAATCATATGAAAAGAAAAAGACTGAATGATGGCCACAGAGTTGGAACACCAGCTATGGCTGTCTAAAGCAAGTTTCACCTTAGCTTTTTGTTTGTAGACCAGGCTGGCTTCGCACGCACAGAGATTCACCTGCCTCTGCCTCCTGAGTGCTGGGATTAAAGTGCCATTGCCGCCCGATTTAACCTGAGCCTTTTAAGCTGTACAAGCTAATGCTGGCTTGGGTTAGCCTTTTATTTTTTGACTACTTACACTAAAGAGTGACTCTTTCTCTCTCTTTCAGACCCCTGCCTCCCACCTCTCAAGAAAACTCAAGCCTCTACTCCACGTCTTGGCTTCCGTCCTGCCACCTTTTCATCCGAGAGGTTATCCTCCAAGAACTCTAATTCTAAGGCCACAAAAAATCCATATCCCAATCTGCCTTTCTTCCTGCTGATACCTACATGTTATATACCTTACCGATTCTTCCTAAAAGGACTTTGCCACTTAGTACTTGACAAGGAGAACCACAAAAACCTGATCCCTCTGGAGTAACTCAATTTGGAGACAGGGAGAACAGAAAGCCTTCTGCTGATGAACTGAACCTCGCTAGCCGAGAGACACTCACCTTTCAACTGGAGGTAGCCTTGAGCCAGATTAACAAACGCCTCTGCTAGTTTCCAGTGTGAGCTGCCGTAGCAAATTCTTGTCAGTGCCACACAGCGCACAAGCTCCTGGATGGCCTGTTTGTACTGTCAGGAAAAGAAACTGAGTTTACCACATAGACAGCTTAGACCATGAGAGCCATAAGGCCTACGTGTAAGTATATCCACTTAGTAAATATTTACTGTTTTCTATGTGCTAAGCATTTGGGATGTGTCAGCGAATCAAACATGATCTGTTTGGGGTGGTAGAGTGTTCACCTGACTGGATGAAGTAAACCACAATTCATTTAAGAAGTAAATACAACTTAATGGTGGCAAATATGGCGGAAGAAACAAAACTAGGTAGAACAGACGTTTGATCGCCGCCTTGATGTTCCAGCTGACATTTAGCAAACAGCTGCTGTAGGTCCAGCTGAAAGTGGGAGTGGTCGTCAAAAAACACACCTTAGCTCTCAACTTGAACCGCCCCCCTTACACTCGTTGCCATAGAAACCGGACAGCGCATGCCCTAGAGAGGATTATAAAACGGGAGGAGACAGCTCTCAGACACTGTCTCATTCTGAGATTCCTGGAGGCAGGATTGCCATTTTCGGACTGAGGTCGGTTGGCTGGTTTGCTTTTGGGACCTTCAGGTTGAACCCCAATTTCTCTGAGTTTTTATGAATCGTGCTTCACTCCAAGGTCGCTTTTTGTTTTCTTTTTGTTTTTTTCAAGACAGGGTTTTCTATGTAGCACTGGCTATTCTGGAACTCGCTCTGTACACCAGGCTGGCTTCTACCTGCCTCCGCCTACCAAGTGCTGGGATTAAAGGAGTGCACCACCACACCCAGCTTGTCTCCAGATTCTTATGTTGAAGTCCTAACTTCCTGTCTACCAGAATGCAGTTACATTTGGAGATGAGGCGTTTTAGGGGGATTTTAATATGGAGTTCCCTGGGGTTAGGGAGATGGCTCGGAGGTTTTCTGCTCTTACACGGGACCTGAAGAATATGACCAAGCATTAGGCTAAGGCTAAGAGGCTCCGTGCAGAGACTACACAGGAAGGTTCTAGCTTGCCAGCATTACTGATGGCTAATGATAATTGCTGATGTGACAAAATTCAAATTCACCAGAGTTTGGCCTGTGGGGCATTATCCTGACTGTGCTAATTGAGATATGAAGACCTGCCTGTGGAAAACATAATACAGACCCAAAGGAAGACACATTTGCAATATATGACTCAGAATATCAAGAGCAGCAAAGACAAAGACAACTAGTATTATGGGATAGTTTGATCACACTCTGACACTTCCAAGATGGCCAATAAAGTTTACTTTGAATCAGAGGGTGGAGCCAGCTACCAGCTGACCAGAATGAGCCATAGAGGTTTTGGAAGACCCAGGACATACAGAGAGACACAGGAAGAAGTAGGGAGGGTCTTAGAAAGATTTGTGGTCCCTTTTGGATAGAGGAAGGAGAAAGGAGGTCACTGGTTGTTTCTCTGCCACTTCACTGATCAATCAGATTTTTAACCCCAGATCTGATTCCTGAGTTTTATTTAATAACAGGACAATAGAAGTAATTGCTTCAGGCTAGGAACCTGCAGCCGATTGAAGAAGGCCGAAGAGATACTGAATCTCTACTCAGTGCGAACTCATATCTATCCATGGATCTGCTTGTGTTTTGTTTTGTTTTTACAAATCAGGTAACATTATTACATAGGTATTAGTTTCCTATTTCAATCACTGTGCTGTGGTGATATGGGAGAATATTCTTATTCTTAAAGAAGAGAAATTATTTTATTTAATATGTAACATATAGCCATATATATTATATATAACATTCTTATATATTATAATAGTATCTATAATCTGTTCATAGCTGAGAAAATAATGATAGTAAAGAGAAAGAGTGAGCCAGAATAAAATGAAAGATCCAAGTGAGTACACTGGGCTGCAGCTCAGTGGCACAATAAACAGATGAAAAAATGAGTAAGATAAACGCTGACAACTCATGAGTTCTGTTTTCAAAGATTTATTTATTCTATATAGTGTTCTGCCTACATGTACTCCTGCAGGCCAGAAGAGGGCACCAGATCTCACAGATGGCTGTGAGCCACCATGTCATTGCTTGGAATTAACCTCAGGACTTCTGGAAGAGCAGCCGATGCTCTTAACCTCTGAGCCATCTCTCCAGCCTGAGCCATAACTTTTCTGTCTGAATGCACTTTAAAATGAAAAACTACATAGAAATGGATTTTTTTAAAAAAAAATAAGTTATACCAGGTTGACCCTGATAAAATGTTAAGATCTTGTGGGGCGCTCAGCTTGTAACTTGCAAGGTCCTAGCGGAGCTGATTGCTTCTTTGACCATGTGTCCATCTTCTCAGCCCATGGCTTCCTCTCTTCACTTCAGACAGGGCACACGCAAGCCTGCCCTGGAGATTTTTCCATGTGTTGCTTCCTCTCCCTTCCCTTCCCGAGGGCTCCGTTCCCTCAGCTAGCTTCTTTCCTTCCTTAGTTCTCAGCTCACTGGCCACAACCTTCCGAGGCCCTCCCTGATGTAAATGATGGACACCCTCTATTCCCACAGTGAACAGCTCTGGCGTATCTATAACTAGCATCCCTTAGCTCCAGCCTCTTCACTGCCACAGAATGAAGAAATGCTTGTACCATTCTAGACACACGAGGGCAGTTCGTGCCCTTACACATGCTAAAGGCCTTTGTGCATGAAGTATTAGTTCTCTTGTAAAGCCTTGGTTGAGGAGCTGGCCCAGAGTTTACTTAACCCCAGTATTAACAGACAGCGGGTATGGAATAAAAATTAGGTGCACAGTGAATGAACAGGGCTCAGACAGATGGGGTCTAAGTCAGAATCCACACGTCCTCCACCTCACTCGCGTCTCTAGCTCCTGTGCTCCCTCCTTAGTCAGCCCCTCTGATTCACATTTCTATATCTCCTTCAGAGGAACTCGGCACCTCTGCCTCACCTCCAATCCTTTGTCCTTCCTTTCCGAGACGGTCGCAAATATCCCCCAGCCTAGCACCCTCTTCTGCACCCTGCCAATGAACAGCTGTGGAGCGAACATTCTTCTGCTCATGGCCTTTTCCTGTCGACAGCCCTAAGTCCCTCCAGTGCCGTTAGAACTCTTTGTCTGAAGAGTGGGCGCCTTTCAGGGCCTGGATTCTATCCACAGAGCAGTTACTCCTCACTGTGTCACCAAAGCTTTTGTTCCAGTGTTCCCTTCTAGTCCCTCAAAGAGACTGCTCCCCCAGGTCTTTGGCACTTACCTGCTGTGGGATAATAATCTTATTCCCTGTAAAGATTTGTCAATTGTATTGCTTTAATAAGATGCTGATTGGCCAGTAGCCAAGCAGGAAGTATAGGCGAGGCGACAAGGCAGAAAGCATAGGCAGAATAACAAGAACAGGAGAATTCTGGGAAAAGGAAAGACAGTCTGCAGTCATCACCCAGACTCAGAGGAAGCAAGATGTGACTGCCTCACTGATAAAAGGTACCAAGCCACATGGCTAACACAGACAAGAATTATGGGTTAATGTAGGATGTTAGCGTTAATAAGAAGCCTGAGCTAATAGGCCAACCCGTTTATACTAATGTAGGTCTCTGTGTGTTTCTTTGGGACTGAACGGTTATGGGACCCAGCATGACAGAAACCTCTGTCAACACTTATCTCTCCGCCACATTTGTCCCCAAGGTTCCTGTCCTTGTCCTCATCTGGAGGGCTCCTAACACTGTTTCTAGTGCAGTTTCATCAGCTCCCATCCTAGGATCCAGGCTTTAGTTGCTGTTCTGACTTGTATGGCCACTGAATGAACCTATTCCAGAACTGATCACAGCGACTGCCCTTCTATCATCTCAGTCCAATCATACACAAACCCCTCTGAAGCTAGGATCACATGGGAATGAGTGAGTGACTGAGGGGTGGATGGGAAGGAAGACAGGGGAACAAGAACCATAAGAGCATTCGAATGGGCTGTACATACGTAGATGTTTCATACAGTCTGTACTATAATCCACTGTAGGTAGAGTCTGGCATGTGCTAAAATTCAACATATTATTTAACTCTCTGTTACTGTGATCGAAATCCCCAACAGAAACAAGTAAGGAGGCTCCTGCTTCAGCTCAGGGTTTCTGAGGGCTCAGTCCATCGTGACCAGAAGGGTGTGGTAGCAAAGGGTGGCTATGTCACAGCAGTCAGGAAGCAAAGGGAAACGCTGGTCCTCAGCATGGTTCTTCCTTTCTCCTCTTTCATTTCACTAGAGCCTCAGTTCATGGGGATGTACATTAGCCACACAGTCAGCGTGATCTTTAACCTTCAGTTACTCCTTTCTGGAACCGCCTTCACAGGCACACTCACAGGTATGTGCCTCCCCTACCCAAGACTCCTAATGATTCTGAATCCAGTTATATTGACAATGAAGACCAATCATTGCACCCCACACTCATGCTAGAAGGCAGGCTCTCTCTTGAGGACTCTCTTGAATCTCACGACTGAGGTATGGAATGTAGTCCCATCACCCTGCTTCTCATGCTTGTGATGAGGGCTCAGCTCTCAGAGAGCAGGTGCGTGACCTCAAGGCTCCTTACCTCACGGTTGCTCAAGTGGGACTTTGCTTTCTCTTCACACAGGTGGAGTTTCTCTCGAGGGGGCTGGAACAGTGCTGTCTGGAACAGCTTGTTCGGGATTCTCTTCTTAGCAGTGTCGCTGACCGCAGCAATGACTTCGTCAAGGTGGTTGGACATGGGGACCTCCTGTGATTCTTGCATATTCTCATACACATTGTCCTCTAATTGCCAAATAAAAAAGAAAGGTGTCAGATGGCCATTTTTGGAGCCACTTTTTAAAAAAAATCACATTGTTTTCTCTAGAACTCTAGGTCAACCTCTAGGAAAATACCAACACTATGCCTATGACTTCCTTAAAATTAAAAACATTTTATCTCAAAAGGGCATGGTGGCTGGTGCAGAATTCTTTTTAAAGTTTCAGTCTTATTTCTGCTAAGTAAAATAGAGACATCCCAACAGAAATTACGTGAGTCCAAACGATTCATAATGAAGTTATACTGAAATGAGTACAAATGAATCGCTGAACTCCAACTGACCTTGAGACAGAAAGGAAATGACTGTTGGTAGTCTTTAAATCTGGAGAAAATGGAGTCATTTATATATTTTTTGCCTAAAATAATAACAACAACAAAACAAAACAGAACAAAAAACAAACCCCATAAACAGACCATAAACAAAAATGAAATAAAAAAGCAGACAAAAATGTTACAAAACTCAAAAGGTTTAAAGAGAGGACCCCGGCAATAAGACACTGATTTTCCCTTCTCTTCTCCCGGTCCCTCCTCCCATGCACTCCTCCATTTCTAGTCAGAAAAGGGCAGGCTTACATGCATATAGATAAAGCATGGCATGTCAAGTTGTAGTAAGATTAAGCACCTTGACTTTTATTAGGGCTGAGCAAGGTGATCCAGTATGAGGAATAGGGTCCCAACAGCTAGCAAAAGAGTCAGAGACAGCCCTGTTCCCACTATTAGATGTCCCACAAGAAGACCAAGCTACACAGAGGGCCTAGGTCAATCCCATGTAGGCTCCCTAGTTGTTGGTTCAGTCTCTGTGACCCCCTATGAGCCCAGGTTGATTCTGTGGGTTTTCTTGTGATGCTCTTGACAACCTGGCTTCTACAATCCTTCCCACTCTACAGCAGGATTCCCAGAGCTCAGTCTAATGTTTGGCTGTGGGTCTCTGAATCTGTTTCCATCAGTTATGGAGAGAACCTCTCTGACGACAATTGGGTGGAACCAGTCTATGAGTATAGCAGGGCATCATTAGGCATCATTACATTGACGTTTTTTTCTCCAGATGTGTTTGGTTCTATCCTAGATCACTGGGCGATCCAGGCTCTGGGTCCTGGTGTTCCAGGCAGTGTCAGAGGTGGGCTCACTCTCGAGGCAAGGGTCTCAGGCTGGACCAATCATTGGTTGGCCACTCCCACAATCTCTGAAGACATTGGTTTTTGAGAGATGAAAAAAATAAACAAGGTGTGTCGTGGTGGCACTCACTCGGGAGGCAGAGGCAGGCGGATCTCTGTGAGTTCACAGCCAGCCTGGTCTACAATGTGAGTTCCAGGACAGTCAACGCTACACAGAGGAACCGTCTTTAAAAAAAGAAAAGAAAAGAAAACAAACCAAGACTCCAATTACCTCAGTTTATTCCTTTTGAGTGTTTCCCGGACACAGGGCAAGGGAGAAGGGAGCAAGAAGTTACTAGTGGACTGAGCGCTCAGGAGACCAAGGTGGCGAGAGCTGACAGGACAGTTTACTGCGAAGAGAATGCTGCACAGGGCGAGGGCCTTGAGTCATAGACGAGTCCACTCAGACAGGGGGAGAAATGTCAATTGGTGCGTGAGAAAGATCCTTCTGTAACTTTAAAAAGGATGTGCCTAGTACCCATTCAGGTTGGCACGGTCTGTCCCCAGAAATTAAACAAGGAAATGAGATAAAATACTCAAAAAGGCATTTTTTCCTTAGTAGTAGAGAATAATTAACCCCAGATGGAATACTGCTTAGAGCTACCTGATGAAGGAAAGATTAGGAAATAAAGGGTCATGATGAGAACGTTCAACTAACATCGACCCAAAATTAGCATGGGTGTTAACAGAAAGACACCACAGTTATTGTAGTGCCATTCCATGGGGTGTAAGTCCATGGGGAAAAGTTTTTTCAAAAGACTCAAACTGAACTCAGAGAGGTGTAATGTGTGAGAGAAAGAATGTGTATGGGGTGTGTGTGTGTGTGTGATATCTGGTGTGTGTATGTGTGTGTATAATGGAGCGATTACAAGGGAGCATGAGGAGCGTTTGCTGTGATGGTCACGTTCACATTATGGGATTATGATGGTAGTTTATGGATGTACACATGTCAAAATTGATCCGATTTCCACTTTTGTGCCTGTTAATAAAATCATACATACAAAGCAGCCTTTCAGAGACCTCTCTCCACTCCTCCCATCCCTGCTGCGATTTGTCCAGTTCTGTCAGTTACTTCAGACGGCATGGGGTCCACTCAGTTACCAACTCAGCAAACATTATTAGGTTCTGCTACCGGCCGTGTAGCGCTCTAGTGTACAATGTGAGAAAAGGAGCCCAGGAAAGTAAAATCTAGCAGGCAAAAGACTGCAGAAGCCTGGCAGCTAGTCAGACTTCAGAAATGGGAACCACGGCTGCAGGGGCATTCAGCTAGCCTTGTATGCTCTGGGGGAGGTGACTACACGGCCAGCTGCCAGCAGCTGATGTGTGCTGTGAGGTGAGCACGGACTGCGAACAGCAGCAGCACACCGGAGCCACAGATGTCACTGTGTCTTCCGCCCAGGACGGCTACTGACAGATGGGATGAAAAGAGCTGGCAAACGGAAACACGGGTTCCACAAAGGGAGGACCCTACAGTCAAATAAAGGAGTAGACAAACCAGGCATTTCACTTAAGTTCTTTCTAAGCCTAGGGATGGCACAGCACCCACGACTTTCTCACAGGCAGAGGGCCTCCCCATCTTCCCCAGGAGGTGGAATCAGCACACAAACACTGTCTGAGGTGCCCCATGCCTCCCCCCACCCCTGTTTTATAGGCACAAAGTGGGAGGCTGGGTTTCTAGCTGAAAAGGCACTGATTTTGAAAACCATGACCGACTTTATGAGATGGAACTGGTGAGCGGGAGGTTTTTTTTTTTTTTTTTTGGGGGGGGGGGATGAAGGTGTGCCCCAGGCTATTAATCTCTAACTAGCAGACTTGTCACCAAGCTCTGAGCAGAAGAGTGGCCACTGACTTTCAAGCTTCAGACATTCCGGTGCCATCCTGATGACTTCTACAAGCCAGTGAGTATTCAGTCCAGATCCACACTGGCTAACTTTTTCTTTAAATCCATCGCTTCTACGAAACCAAAACGCTGCTGGGCATGGTACACCTTTAATCCCAGCACTCGGGAGACTCTGTGAGTTTGAGGCCAGCCTGGTCTACAAAGTGAGTTCCAGGACAGCCAGGGCTGTTACTCAGAGAAACCCTGTCTTGAGAAAACAAAACCAACCAACCAAACAAACAAACAAAGGATAGCCCAAATTTCCTACCTCAGATTCATTCTCCCAGATAATGAATGGTAGCAGTGCCAGGGCAACAGCTACGTCCCCACAGCAACATCAAATACAAATAGGAAGAGTTTTTAAAGGGTGCCAGAGTCCCACCCAAGAACACGAGTGTAATTACTGCACGCATTTGGGAATTCTAAATTGGAGTCTGTTTGTCTTTAGCTTATATTCAGAGTGGCATTTTCCATAAAAATTGATTTATAAGGGCCAACGTGCTAGCCTTGCAAACATGTTCATCTTAGTTTTGATTCCCCAGAAATCATGTTTGTTTGTTTGTTAAAAATCTAGCCGGGCAGTGGTGGCACAGGCCTTTAATCCCAGCACTTGGGAAGCGGAGGCAGGTGGATCTCTGTGAGTTTGAGGCCAGCCTGCTCTACAAAGCAAACCCTGTCTGGAAAAACCAAAGGGGGGAAAAATCTAGGTTTAGGGGTGTTTGTCTGCAATCCTATTGTGTGGGAGGCAGAGACAGGTGGCTTCCCAGGACTCAGTGAGAGCTAGCCTAGCTTAAACATCCAATCTCAGAGCCCAGTGAGATCTCATCCCAAAACATTCAAGGTGGATGGCTCCTGAGGAAGGACACCTACGGTGCCTGACCTCCAGACACTCATGCACAAACACACAAACAATAAAAGTAAAGAAACTTATAATGCTCTTATTTTAAAACTTCTCCTAAGCAAGTCTCACAGGTCTTCAGTATGTGGTCTAACAACCACCTCCTCATTGAAGTTAAAGATAGTCACTGGATATAGCAATGTGATTATACAGCACTAAGCTAGTTACATGATGGCACTGGGAAGGAAAGTGACAGCAACAGAAGCAAGATGTGTGTGTGTGTGTGTGTGTGTGTGTGTGCGCGCGCGCGCGCGCGCGCGTGTACGGCCAGGAGGCATGCTGAATGCAATGTTTGCTGTAACCTGAGAGCTACTTGGATACATAACTTATGGTGAGATAGGGAAGACAGACCCCAAAATTTTCATTCTGGACATTCTGGGACTCTAGGGCTAGTATTTTATCACTCTGGGCCAAAGCCTGTGGCTGGCATATAAATAAAGCTTTATTGGAAAATGGCCACATTCCTTTACTCACATAATGTCTATGATTGCTTTTGCATGACAGCAAGCTGGCTTATTTATTACCTCGCCCTTCCCAGGAAAACACAATGATGCCATGAACGGAAGCAGTAGGATAAAAACGGAGAAGCCAGCTTAATGACCAACTTTATTCAGCTGAACTGATTTGTGAAAGAAATTTATCACAAAATGTTCCACTTAGAAGTCAGAAACGGCACTGCTTCTGAGTGATTTGATTTAGTTTTGGTACTGGGGATGGAAATTTCCTTTTACTAAAGGCATACTGTTTTTATTCCTACTTCCAAATGCCATTTGAGACTGGCTAGAAGTCAACGGAAACGGCTGGAGAAAGTGTGCTGACTCCCTGATAGTCTAGAACAGAGACCTGGGAGCTGGAGAGACAGTTAGCCATCAAGAGCTCGCATTGCTAGTGCAGAGGACTTGAGGTCTGGTCCCAGAACCTACATCCATGTTCTCAGCCACCTCTCACTCCAGCTCCAGGGGATCCTGTGCCCTCTTCTGGCCTCAAAAGGCACCTGCACTCAGGCACACATGCTTAGAAACATAATTCAAAATTT